TAATACCTGATCCTTTTTCCGTATGTTCCTTAGCGTTGATTTTGGTTTCCGAATTACTTCCGGGCCTGGTGTAGAGGCTGGGGACAACACATTTTGGGTCTTTAAATGGCTTTGACTCTGCCACCTTAAGTTTTAATGGGAAAAGAAAAAAAAAAAGGTTGCAACCTGCTTCCATCCCACACCTTGTTTTTCTCATCTCTTCAAAGCCTGATGTGGCATAGATGGGTAGGGGACAAAGGGACATAAAATCAATCCTTCACCTAATTAACACCTACTCACCACATTCAAATGTCACTTTTTAGGGAAACCTCCTACAATGGCTAACTCCCTTTGCATAGGCTCCCACAATGGCCTTTGGTGAGGCACATCACTCTTGCCCTAATGGTTCAGTATCTGTCTCTCTGCTCGACAATAAGTTCCCTAAGAGCAGAGGCCATGTCTGACCTGTTCTCTGCCTGGCACACCACAGAAACTCAGAGTTGTGAACATGAAGAGGGGATGGGGATTTAATGAGGTAGAATTTCAAAAACCAGGTCAATATTTTTCCTTTCCTCCTTCAAGCCTTTACTTCTTTCTTGTTAATGAAGCATGATCCCTGTGATAGTATTCTCTTAACCCAAACTGAAAAAACAAACAGCTTCTTCATTCAGATCAGGTATTGCCTGGAGAACTCTAGCCGGCTCTACCAGGTCCTTTTCTTTTAATAAGAATATGATCAGCCTTTCACAAACTTCACCTTTTGAAAAGCAAACCCTTCTCTGGTGGGTTTTCCAGAAATAAAACTCAGGTCAGCTGGCTCCCAAGTTGGTGCTTACCTTCTGCTTAGAGGAGGAAAGAATGTTAATCAAACGTGGGTTTATAATGCCTGTAGCTCTTGAGGAAAAGATATTTTTTAAAAAAGCAACAGAACAATGCAAGAAATACAGTCTAGATTTATAATTGATACTGCAAAATTGTCTTTAATTAACTTCTAGATTGTGCCTCTCCTAAACTGGTTTACCATAGTGAAGTTAGCATAAACTAGAGTCAGAATCAGCTTACTATATATGACCTCTTGGTAAATAGTACAGTACAGCAGAAAAGCTCAAGAAAACACAACTGTCTTTGGCAGAACCTGTGTTCTAGTCTCATGAGAAGTAATTTAAAAATGAGTGAGACCAATGCTGAATTCTTCAATACATAGCCACATAGTGAGACAGTTCAAATAAAAGCCAAACTCTCTGCCGTGCTAAAGAATGAAAGCCAAGCAATTAAAACTGAAAAAAGGATTACATAATCTTGCAACAGGAAACTTAGATCAGAAATAGCAAGCATTTACTGTCTGGCTATTAGAGTAACCAAGACACCTTTTTACCTGGGATAGGTCAAGTAATATTGAGTACAGGAAGGGGGATGGCGGCAAAGACTACATTCGGTTCAAAACCACCTTTCATCATAGTCTCTGAAAACATTAGAAGTAAACTACCTTTGCAGAAAGGTTATTGGCTGACCTTCAAACTTCTTTCTTAAATATTTAGGGGTCAAATCTCCTTGTATATATTACTCACACTTACCAGGCAGCCCCCAAATGACTGTGTACTTCCTAGTTCTCTGAAATGTTCACTTCTTCCATCTGTGTTGCCCCACACAATATCATAAAACTATTCAGTAGGAAAGTAGGCAGCTGGTTTCATTAACCTCTTCTTGCATGTATGTGAAGGATAAAATTAGGTTAAATAAGTAAAGGGAGTAAAATCACCCTGATGAGAGTTTTTGTTTTTCCTTTACTTGCTGTATCTTCCTTTCCTTTAATCCTTCTCTTTTACAAGTAGAGACTGTATAATTTCATCTAGAAATGGACTATGTATTTATTTTAAGCAAAAGAAAATGTTACATTACAATAAACAAAACATTCTTCCCCACAGAAAAAGGATCAACTGGGACCCAAAGCATAATGACCACTGTTAAGTAAGACTGTTTCTATTATCAGAATGTTTCCTGGCTGCCTGGGAGGTGACCTCTAATACCAGAATAGCCTAGGAACAAATTTTATAAAGATGTCATGCTTGTACATCATCGGCCAAAATGCCACTGTCATATTAAAAAGTCTTAAAAATTAGTCCAACATTTAGACACAGGGACAAGATTAAAGGAGCTGTGGTGGCGTAATGCCTAAGGCATTTGACTGCTAACCGGAAGGCTGGCAGTTCAAACCCACCAGCAACTCCTCGGAAGGAAGATTAGGCAATCCACTTCTGTAGTGATACCACCTCGGAAACCCACATGATTGGGGACATGAATTCAGTAAGTGAAACACCTGACTTTCCCTCTCCCCCAAAAATCACACACTACAGAGGTAAGTGTCCATGATGCCATCCCTTATTTTTCTTAGCTTTAAAATTAGGACATCCACTGATACTTTCCTTTTTGCCAACAGAAGCTCAAAGAGAAATGAAATGTTTAGCTGGTTTCAGAAAGAAAGACTGTCAGCATACCAGCATGGTGGAGGATGGAGGGAATGCCTGAAGCCTGCTCTGTGGGTGAGGCAGCTACCCTCTTCTGAACTGCTTCTCTGAGCCAGGGAAGCACACCAGGAAGAAGGGATGAGGTAGGCACCAAACCTGTTTTGGAATTTTCAATTAGCTTATTAGCTGTTACTCATGATGATTCAAACTAAGAACAAGAGACTCCCCTACCCTCTATCTGTAAGGAGGTAGCATAAGAGCAATGAGCAACAAATTCCTTTGAGAGTCTATTACGTGAAGGTGGAGATGGGAACACAGAAACCAGAGAAACAAATACATGGCATACACAGACAACCTGCTGTGCTTTAATTACCACAGTAAAAACAATTTATTTGTATATCAAAAATGACTCCAAATTCTTTATCATCACCATCAACAACAATCTGGAAATGAAATGTTACACCAATACAAAACCTTCCCATTCAAAACTGAAAGATTTATGACATTATTTTTTTAATATATATATACATATATATTTTTTTTTACCCTGAGGCAGATATCACCAAAGTGAAAAACAAAAGTCATTATCAGCTGGAAATAATTCAATGTAGGAATTTTAAAACCATTTATTCATTCAATTGGAATGACTTCTCTTCACTCCTCCCACCCACACTATGTTCTGACAAGAGAAAATGATGGCAAATGGTTGCACCCAGTCTTATTATATACTGATTATAAGATTTTCAATTCAATCTATTGCCCACAATCAAGAAACAGAATTTTTAACATCAACTGACTCTACACTATCACATTTTAAAGAATGTATCAAAATGAACTTTTTTTTTTTATAAAAAGGGAGTTGGCAGTACACTCTCAGACAAAATAACAGTACAGTACATTCTTACAATGGCTACTGCAGCACAATCTAAAATGTTTACCACCTATCAGCCAAACAGTTAAGTTCAGAGTTCACACAGATTGCCTTGCAAATACTCAACTCTAGGCTCTTAGTCACATTGGGATAAGATGTCTAGAATAGTAAGCGCAAAATGCCACAACAGTTATTCCATTCAAGTGATGGGAGAAGTATTCATGTTAAGACAGGGGAAAAAAAAAAAAACCAAGAGTCAAAGGGGGGAGTCTTTAAACATTTCTTTAAAACAGAATAACAAATAAATAGAATAAAAAGATCTTCAAAATCTGAATTCCTAATATTGCTAACAAGATTTTTGTAAGTCTAGTGCAAAGTTGTATTACCTCTCTCAAGATAGACTACTGACTCTTCCTCCAATTATTTCCACGTTGATCTCTGAATGTTTTCAAAATATATTCTTTCTAAATATTTACCATGGTTCACCTAAACAGGCTGTTAGTTTGTACATCTGAGTCAGAAAATATTTGTTGCCACTTTGTTTCAAAGCATTGTACACACAATCTGCTGTGCACTACTTATTTTCAAATGCATAATTACAGGTACGTACCCTGGGCTATAATAAAAATCTGGGGAAATAGTTGAAGAACTGTCATCTCTCATCCTACTTCATACTCTTTACCTTCATTGTTTACAGATGCCTTCCCAATTCCAACTATTGAACTGGGCAATACAGGCATGAGCAATGGACACTTAAAATGGAGTTTTCTTGAAACTCTCAAACAAATCTTCCTGTAAGAAATCATGTTCACAAAATCCAACCAAAACTGGGTAAGGATAATGAAGAGAGAATTTCTTGATAGAATGAATTAGAAAAAGGTTTTCTGGGCAAGACTTGATTCAAATGTTCTCTTTTTTAGGTAGAAACATGGCAAATCAAGATTGGAACGATTTTTAACAATTATATGGTCAAACCCTCATCTCATATTTGAATTCCCATATAACATTCCAGCCAAGTTGTTGTCCAGCCTCTGCTAGAACATCTCTAGGGCCAAGGAAGCTGTTCCAACACTACTGATTATTCCTTACAGTAGAACAGCAAAACAGATGGGACAGTAAACAAGTTTACATTTTAGGAATTATATCTCACTTTTCAAGAAAGTTAGCAGAATTATCAATTGCTATTCAGAAAGTTCTATCAGGTTTGTCTCAAGTATTCTATGCTTTCTGCAGTGATTCATAATGCAATAATACGTAACACAACTTAGAAATGTGAATTCCAGAAATCATTGTTGATAGGTAACATGGAATGGGTAATAGTATCTTAGAAGCAATTATTATAGGGACCCCAAAAGAAAGGGAAAAATGTTTTGAATAAATAAACATTTCACTTTGAAGGTGCAATAAACACCTTGTTTTTGGTGCACAGAACTCAAGAGCCTTGGCGGATGAATTGTAAGCTAGTTACGTCTGCAGCATTTGTCAATTCAAACATAAGAGACAGAAGAGAATGACAGGAGGAAGTCTGAGGCTGCAGCCTGCTATCCTAAGGCAACTGGAGGCAGGACACTCAACCTTCATTTTCTCCTTCTAGATTGTTGGCAGCACCACTAACAATTCTCTTGTTTCTGATTTCTCTCAAGGAAATTAGTCCATTCACGATTTTAAATCCCTCCTTCTTCCATCAGAAAACTAACAAAGCAACATGCTGGTTGGTGGATAATAATGCTGGAATTCAACTTACAAAGAGTGAATTCCTCTAACCAGACACATTTATGCCTATATTTTTATTTCTTGAACATACATATGAATAGGTCTATTTAAACTGAAAACATTTATCCTGTTAACATACACACATGTAACAAAGGCTCTGAATGCCCACATTATTTGAGACACAGCCAATTCAACTTTGACTGTTATCTTTCATCCTTGTGTGCTAAAATGGTATTACTTTTTAAAAAACAGGACTGTGAGTAACAGACAAAAACAAAACACTAACAAAAAAAAAAACAGTATCAATTTCAGTATGTCTTTTTATATGGAGGCCACCTGCTTTTCATATCTGTTTCAAAAGTTATCAGATAATTAAGAGTTAGTGGCTAGATGACAGGAGAGCAAATCTTCCTGTAAGAAAGAATAAAACTCCCTTGACCACTGAGATTTGGCAGTGGAATCAATGAAAGTCAATTAAGTACTCAGGATAAATTTGATTGGCATCAAAAACCACAAAGATCTTTGGATTCCAGGTATCATCCACACAGCTGTCATATAAATTCACATAGCTCCCGTCTTTGGAAGGAGGTCGCATGTATTTGGAGTCTCCATTTATATAATCTCCAATTAGCACTCGAGCCAGAAACATAGACTTATATGTTCTAAATAGATGTCGCTGTTGCAGGCTGACACCATGAATTTGGAATGTGTTTCCATGCTTTATGTCATCTTTGCAGAAGCGACTTGAGTAAGCAGCATCTCTAGCAAAATAGGTTCCTTAAACAAAAGGACCAAAAAGCCAAGATTACTCCTGAGAATGCATTAAATACAAATAAAAACACTGTAATTGTCAGGGGAATAGACACATGGAATTGTATAACAAACATAGATGTGGAATTTCCTCATCTGTAGATCTTTAAGAATAGAAATCCATCTGCTGAGGACAGCTGTGGTACAGCCTGCCACAGGGATAGATCTGTTGGTATAGAGCAGCCCGCAGCCTCCATATGCAATTACCAGAACTGATTTCAAAAGAAATCTTAGAAAGAAACCCAATATGTAAAACAGGTAAGAACATGGTTTCTCAAGTTAAAAGTGTGTCAGGGCCTTAGTTTTAACAGCTTGGACCTCTGTCCCACTTCTGTTTTCTTCTACTACTTTCCTCACCCCCACTATCTTCTTTCTGCATCCAGAGAGGCTCTGGGAAGCATAATTTAAAATCTACTGGTCTATAGAGATTATTCCAAACCCCAGAAAACCGTATGTCTATGATACAGGGTAATCAACAATGTTTCTGGAAATAATAGAGCCCCAAAAAGATTTCTGAGAGAGCACAATGTTATTCCTATCTGAGAATTCTAGAAGAATAATTTCACTGGTTCATTGCTTAAAAATGAAAACTCAGTAAAGCAGGTGACTCTTCCTAAATGGGAGGCCTGAGAGACTAACATCAAGAGAATATTCACACCAATACTGATGGGATTTATGTGACACTTTTCTGATCCTCTTTCAGTTAAATAAGTGGGATGGCCTATTGAAAAAATTAATTTACTTTTCTAAAACCCAACACATCCTCATCCTAAGTGGCAGCAGTTGTCTTGCTGGATGTAATGAATAAAGTAAAGACCAGACCAATAAATGTCCATCTTGTACCTTTTCCTCTCATCTTTCCCTTAAGGCATAGATTGGAGAACTTGGGCTTTCACAACCATTAGATATAAGGTGAGCTTTTCCCCCTACTATACTTTATTGCTTATTAATATTCTTACCTATCATCTTCTAAAAAGACAATAAAATTTAAAAACCTAGCACCTATTCCTGTGCACAATGTAATTAATTTGATTTTTCTTTCTTGCTCTATTTACCCTAAATCACTTTAGTGTATATGCTGTGGCATGTAAAAGACATTGAATAAAATGTATTTTTATTGAAGAAATCAGCTAATATAGACATGATGTCACATCTGGATGAGTGGGACTTGGGGAGCTAGTTAATCTGATAGTGGCATAAAAGTCTTATTTCCATCTTGTACATGCAAGATGTGACTTTTCTGTGACTTAAAAACTCGTAAGAGTGTGCCAGGAACCTAGTATAAATCTAAAAAACCAAACTCACTGTCACTGAGTCAATTATGATTCATAGTGACCCCCTCTGGGTTTCTGAGGCTGTAAATCTTTGTGGAAGTAGATTGCCCAGTCTTCCTTCCATGGAGTGGCTGCTGGGTTTGCAGCACCAACCTTCTGGTTAGTACTCAAATAAATGCCTTAGGCACTATGCCACCAGAGCGCCTTTGAACCTAGTATAGTAAATTTTAACTTAATGACTATCAAACCCGTGAATTGCGAAATAATCAATTATCCCCAAAGAGAGGAGATTCTGTCCTAGAACTTAAATTGGACCTGGAATTCTGATAAATACCTTTTCCAAAAAGAGCACCATGTATACCATTTATCCTCCAATCAAAGTTATGAATGCAAATTGCTTCCACAAATTCACTGCTGGTACCATGAAACAGCATTTGTTCATTAATCTGAGGCACACCCCTTTTTTTCTTGAGCTGAGCCTTTTTCCTAAAAACAAAATACACATAGACACAAAAGCACAGAAATACACCGTAAGTGGCATTTATTAATTTTTTAAGGAACAAAGTTCAACAGGAAGGGTGAAAAAGAAAACACTTCTGTTAAATAAATTATAAATGGACAAAGAAGCTCAGGAAAATAAATATAAAATTTCCAAAGCTTCGCTTAAGACACACAAATCATCTCAGCAAAAACTATTATTTAACAATGGGACTTAAGGTTGACTTAAGGTGAAAATTACATGCAAAAATTAGTTATCCCATCATAGCAAAGATAACTGATATTCCTAAACCAGGTAAACTATACAGATACTTTAAAATGAAATGAAAAACAGTTAAATAATATAATGTTCAGAATCTACAGCAGTGAGTTTCTTGACCAGGGATTATGTCTTATTCTTTTTATCCCCAGAAAATGTTAGTTGAATTGACCACAGTTTGAATCTTAGCGCTAGAAGGGACATTAGGACACCTAGTTCAACCCTTTTCCCAAAGGACAAATTTCTTCTGGCATGTACAAGGATATTCAATGTAGGACAGATTGCAATTGCAAGAAAAACCTAGAAGCAACCTAAAATGCTTTCATAAAGGAATGAATAAGTAATTATATATTTATACATAAAAGTATAGCTCTGGTAGCATAGTGCCTAAGGCACCTGACTGCTAACCAGAAGGCTGGCGGTTCAAACCCACCAGCGACTTCTCAGAAGGAAGGTTGAACAATCTACTTCCATAGTGATACTGCCCTGGAACCTAAGGAGCAGTTGCTATGAGTTGGGTCTGACTTGACGGCACATAACAATACTAAGAACAACAAAAAAGTTGTTAAAAAGTAATGGACTAGATCTACATGTACTAACAGAGTTCAATCTTGAAAAATAATGCTGAATGCAAAATAAGGAATTTTTAAAAAATATATATATATAACTCAAAATAATACTGTACACTGTAAATAGTAAAAACTATAAAAACCTGGACAAGAAGGCATCACACCAACCTCAGGAGGAAGGGAGGAGAGCAGGATGGGGGTTGGGGTAAACACTTCACTTATCTGTAATGCTTTGTATCTTAAAAAAAAAAGACATGGAGAGGAAGAAAATGTAACAAATATAAAAATGTTAAATCTAAGAAGTTCCGGCAAGATGGCGGACTAGGCAAAGGATTGCACAGACCCTCTTCAACAAAGAAAAGGGAAACCAATTAACACAGACACAGAAGATAATCTTGGGCCCCTGAGCCTTGAAGGGAAGAATACAGAATTGGACTAAACCCCAATTAGCAGAAGAATTTGCGTAAAAATACCAAAAAAAAGGAGACATACGGAACTGCGGTCTGACAGCGAACTGAGTGACCCTGACAGTACAGGTGGCTCGGAGATTCCCGACTGGTGGTAAGACCTAAAAATTAACCTAAAAATCACCCTGCTAGCCAGGGACTGCACGGACTGTGCAAGGTGGCTGGGGAACAAACAGAGAAGGTGAAGAGAAAGGTGGGCTGAGCTGTGGACTTTTGCCAG